CAAGAAAAGAAAATACCTAGAGTCCCTGGAGAGCGTAAAAGCTCATGACAACAAAATGGAAACCGTCTAAAACGCCGAAAACTACACACTCTCTGTACTCGATCTGAAACAACACATCAAAGGAAAAACGAAACGCATCGAATTCGACGTTCATTACAAGAAAACGAACACTACATCAACATCAAAAAGAAATCTAACCATCCACCGCACATCAAAAAAAAGAAATCTAACCATCCACCGCACATCATCAAAAAGAAATCTAACCATCCACCGCACATCAAAAAGGCCGTCATAAAGGATTCTCAGAGAGAGAAGGAAAAGATCTATGTCTACTATGTGCACGTGACGAAGACAGAGTAGAAGCCGAACTGGAAAACGTCGAAGAAGTATTTATAGCAAATGGATATACACARGAGAAAATCAGGAAAACGATACACCACTCACCAGGCGAAAAAAGGTACTCAAACAAAGACAAAAGACACAACAGAGAACCAGAGAGACATATGTTGTAACGTACGTCGACGGTCTATCACACCAATTCAAACGTATAGCATCAAAATACAACTTTAGAATAGCCTTGAAACCAGCATAGTTAACTATGAAACCAGGGGAAAAAGTTATAGATCTAGGAACGAAGGCCCGACCTCGCCCGACACCCAATAGGAGACAAGAGATCGAACGTAGTATATAAAAYTCCGTGCGGTTGTGAAAAATATGAATACATAGGAGAGGCTGGGAAGAAATGGGAAACAAGGAAAAAAGAACACGAAAGCAAAGTAACAAGAAAAGACATCACTGAAGATAAAATCGAACAAGCTGAAAGGAGAATGAACACCGGAGACGGAGGACTTGCGAGACACGATCAGATATAACATACAGTGGGATAAGAGCAGGATAATAAACCAAGAGACCAACACCGATAAAAGAAAATACCAAGAGTCCCTGGAGAGCATAAAAGCTCAGAACAACAAAAAGACCTTACTTAATATTCACGCAGACATTGATTTTTACTCTTGTAAAGTTGCCAGTTTACAGCTGTGATCTGAATCCCCGGGGGGGGGGGACTCCCATATATTTGCTATACGGGGACGTGCCGCTGGCCAGGGTATGGTTTTTGGCCTTGCTGTCTTAAACAGGGTATACATTTCACCCGAAATTGTCTTAAACAGTCTCTACAATTTAGATAAAAGAGACCGATATAATTTTGTTGTTTGTCTTGGACAGGGTAATATTTTTTTACACCGTAGAAATAGTAGAAATACCGTTTCACTGTCGCAGAATTAACGTGTTATCAAAAACTTCTTATTGTCTTTGATGGATGTCAGTATAATTGCAGTTTTGATGGTTGCGGCGTACATAGCTATTCCTTATTTTTCCGATTTGTCTTGAATAGGGTATTGATTTTTACTTTTTAGTGTCTTAAACAGGGTCAGGGATTTAGACCACTGGCGGCACGTACCTATCCATAGCAGGTAACCCGCATTATGAGCGCGCGCCGATAACAGTACTACCGTATATTAAGAAAAGCGTGCGCATTCTTCGTTCTTTTCCTTCTCTGAAACTAAGTTGGGCGGCCTATGGATAGACCCCTGGCACTCTTCAGGACAATCCTCAAGAGCCAATCCAATCAACAAACTTTGTTTTGTTGCTATGATTTGAAATTTGTCCAGTAAAGCATGGAAAACYTCAAACTATTTAGTTTACAATTTTTCAAAAAATTAAAAACTGAGATTATGAATGGTCTCATGAAAACAATTTGTTCCATATAAAATAAAGTTTAGTTGTCTATTCTTTTGAGTATTTTCTTTTGTTTCTGGTTACATTATGGTTCAGTGATAAGTACATTTTTTTACAATAAGTCAGTAAAATAGTGACTAATAAGTACATACTACTGATTTTATTTTACATTTCAAGTACATAWTATAGACTACAAACACTAAAACTGTGCAACATAAATACCACTAAATACTGCTAAATTATTCTAATTCTATTGTTTCCTATTGTTTAATTAACACTATTTTGTAGTAAATAGTGGAAAGTGTTGAACACATGTTTGTACTAACTCTATATGGCTTGAATGGAAATATCTAATTAAAAATAAATTTTTTGTTTAAAWTGTACTTTAAAATTCCTAGAATTTTGTGTTGAAAACAAAGCAGGACATAGCATGGGCTATTTGCTGAGTTTATAAATAAGTAGACTAATAATCTTATAAATCAGTGCTGGAGTGAGACTTAATTATTTTTTGAACCACCATTTGAAATAATATGGTTAGTTTTAGGAGTTTTCTTGGTTTGWCCAATACTATACAGACAAATAGCAGCAATAACAAGTCCTGCTCCAACTAGAAACTGTCCAGTTATTTTGAAATTAAAGAAGTGAACTGATGCAATGCAAGACAAGACAATGGCCACTGCAGCTGTGAAACCTTTAAGGATATTATCAGCATATTTTACAACTATACCCACTAATAACCCACCAAACACTTGTAAAAATACACAAAATTGAACAACTGGTGTATAACCATAGAAAAATCCCTTTTCWGCAACTTCTTCTCCATCATTGTACAAAACTCCAATCATTCCTAATATTGACCCAAAGCAAGCCAGATGTAAGTTGCGAACCCAGAGAGGTGTTTCAGTGCCTTTGAGTGTCATCTCAAAATACACTCCTAAAATGCAAAAAATATACCATCAATTGAACAGCAACAAATTATACACCATTAATATATCAGCATAAAATCTGCTTCAAAAGGTGAACTGTAGAATACTTAATATATACTGTGATACTGCATAGTTTATTTGAAGACTGCGATACATAGTTGCTAGTATATATACACCTTTATAATGACTGCAATTGTGTTTTTCCAAAATAAAATAGAATGAATATTTTGTCACTGAAACATCAAAGAACTATCAGAAATAAACGTTTTTGGAACATTTTAGAACTCTTAACATTGCAAATACAAAGAAATGTATCGAAATGTATGTAATTTTCCACCAATGGAGCTGTCTATTTGTTTCTGAATACAAAATATGTGAAAACTTTGTCACTGTCATGTGAATGAACTATTTTTGGAAAGTTTTACAGCCCTGGATAAAATTTTTTGGCCAAATGAAAAACACAAGAAATGTATGTAATTTTCAGCCAAGGCCTTTATAGCCTCGTTCTGGTGTTATGATATATTTTAAATCCTTATAACCTCACCAGAATTTAATATTTTCATTTTAAACTTTTATATGTTGTTATTAGCACAGGTTCCTACAAGCTGTTAGTTTTCTTTGACTAAAATTCTAAATTTTAAAAAAATATGTTAATTAGCTGGYGGCCATTATGGTAAAGGTGTATAACTCAACACTAGCAAGGTCAAGTAAGTGAYAATTCTGAACTAAAATTACTTTCCCTTGAAGTTTGTAAATGAGCAGGTCTACTATAGCAACTATGAAACCACAAAACTCATTTTTGATGATGATTAAACAACCAACAAATACATTTCGGTTATTATCAGTATTCAACATTTTTTGAAATCTAATCAATCTAATCTTCTTGGAGCTAAAAACCAGTCACCAAAGGGACCGTTCATTATTTATGAGAGGGAGGGGGGATATGGGTGATCAAATGGTGTGTCTTGAAATTTTTCTAAGCCTAAAAAGGGGGGTCTCRAAATATTTTTTAAGCTATAAAGGGGTAGCCTGCATTACATCCGGAATATTCYTCGACCGGTATTTGTGAAATTTCCGGGATGTAAYRCAGGCTATAATTACATCTATTCAGTAGATCTATTACATCTAGTCACTAGATCAGTCCTCTCTTACTGTCTGAACCACAGTTGATATTGCGATATTATCGGATAATAT